GCGGGCTGCGCGCGGTCTCCGACGACGAGACGGTGCGGCTGTGGGACGTGCAGAGCAAGCAGTGCACGCGCACGGTGCCGCTCAAAGGTGGGCGCCTCGCGGTGGGTGGGGCCTGGCCCTCGGGGTGGGCGGGGCTTGCGCTGTGGGGCTCGCCAATGGTCTGGATGAGGCCAGGGGTGGGCAGGGCCTGAGCAGGGGCGGGTCTAGGTCATGAGGCATGAGGGCGTCGTAGGGGTGGACCTGGGAACTGGATCCTGACCGCGCCGCCCCACAGGCCCGGTGACCAATGCGGCCATCGTGCTGGCCCCGGTCAGCATGCTGAGCTCGGACTTCAGGCCCAGCCTCCCCCTGCCTCACTTCAACAAGCACCTGCTGGGCGCCGAGCACGGGGACGAGGTGCGCCGCGGAGGCCTCACCCTGCGCCTGGGCCTCCACCAGCAGGTACCCAGACCCCGCAGGGTGCCCCGCATGGCCTGGCCCTTGGACCCCAGGAAGACCCGGCCAGCAGCGTGGGCTCCTGGTGGGTCCAGGCTGCAGGCTGGTGGGCAGGAGGCCCTGAGGGTCAGCATACCCTCTGCAAGGAGCCCCCATGGTGGTGGGGGGCACCTCCAGGGCAGGAGACCCTGGTCAGCTGCTACAAGGGGACAGCAGTGACCCACCCCCTGCTGCTCTGTGGCCCCCAGGGCCAGCACTGGCCTGAGCTGTCAGTCTCCGTGGCCTCTGGCGGGGCTCCCTGGAGGCTCCCTGGCCGGCCTCACTCCCTCCGTTGTCGCTGAGGTCTGGGGTCAGTGCTGTCTGAAGGGCAAGGCCCCCAGAGATGGCCAAGAGGGTGGCAGCCACTTCTGGGGTTGGGGGTAGTGTCACTAGATTCTCTTAGAAGACGGTGACGGTCTGCAGGCAGGACAGCGGCTGTCTCGGGAGTCCCCTCTGGTGGCCCCAGGACCACGTGATGCACCTGCCTGTAATGTCAGGTCAGACCTTCCAGCCAGGTGGGAACCGCCCCTGCCGCAGGCCTGGCAGCCGGCCTCTGT